CCTGTCGTTCGGGTCCTAGGGAGCGGGTCCTGGAGCACTAGCCAATCAGAGGCGCGGGGCGCGGGGCCGTACGAACTGTCCAATCAGGAGCCCCGGCGGCGGGAGGGGCGGTCCAGACTCTGAAGGGTCCGTATTTGAGGCGCCGCAGCGACGGGCGGGCGGGTGGTCAGCTGTTCTGAGAGACGCCAGCGCCTCAGCCTCCTTCGCTTTGTGACGTCCACTGATGCCAGTTACCGTCGGGAGGACTCCGGGCGACCCCGGAAGCCGGAAATGGTCAGTGTTGGGGAGCGGGCCGGGGTGGGGAAGGAGCGCCGGCGGGAGCGGCGGAGGGACCGGCCCCCCACGTCGGCCCCGGAGCCGGTGAATGAGTCCGCCGCTGGCGTCGCTCGGCCCTCGGTCCTTCCGACCTCACCGTGGGGCTGACCTGGCAGCCGGGACCCCGGCGTCCTGTCCCATCCCTGCGCGGCGACTTGGGCCAGCCCGGAGTCCCGGTCTCCCCAGAATGCGGTGTCGGCGGGAGGGTCCCGGGGAGACGCGGACTCGCGTGTGGGCTCGTGCGCGGGAGGAGCTGCGGGATTGGGGAGCCGCCAGCTTTTTCTCATTTTCCCCCGTGGCATACTTAATTGCCCGGAATTCCTACATGTTTGCGAAGGAAGGTCTCAAATCCACAATCTTCCAGTGCTTCTTAGGGCTGGCTGCCAGTCAATCTCTGATTTACCAGGTGCTTCTCCACGAAGCCAGACTCCTTGGAGAGGGGGTCTTCCGCTTCAACACGGTTGGGGTTGAGGTGGAAGAGGACACATTGATACTGTCCTTAGACTGTTACTACACCTCGTTTTTAAAAACGAAGTGATTGACATAAGTGACCACCTGGAAGTATTGGTGAAAAAGTCCTAACCGTATGGTTTGCAAGCATACAAAGGCAGAAGAGGGCTTTTCTTTTGTAGGGAGTAGGAAAGAAGAGTAGGTAGGAAAAGTTAGGGGAGAGGAGAACTTTCCCCCTGAGGTCCGCCTGTGCTTGGGTAACGCTAAAGAGGGGTTTATGTGGTGGGTCAGACCTGGAAAAAGGAGAGATACAAGGAAAGTTTGCTTATTTAAGTGTTTTGTTTCTTTTCTACTGATCAGTTTAGTTAATCATTAAGCCCAAAGTGGGAATTTGTAAAGCGTGTATCTGGCCTTGTTGGTTTAAAAAAAAAAAAAAATGGGAACATTTTCTAAGTGTAAAGGGATAGTGTTCGTTTGGGGTAGGATGTTTCTCCAAATCAAAGTATTGGAGGTAGGAGATTTTTGATCACTGCTCTTTACCAAGATTAGAGCTCTTGGTTAAAATTCAACATTTTATGCTGTTTGCTTTTATATTCACAGTGTTAGTCTGGTCAGAGTGCAATGTATGTTAATTGAGAAAACCTGTGAGGTACAGTCTGAGAGACACCTTTGGTGTCTATCTGATGGAGAAAATGGCTTATGAATTTGAGGTTTTATTTTGGTGTATAGTATAATAAACAACAACAACAAATGGTCTTTGTCCCAGCTTCTGGCAAGCTTAACCCTCGGAATTTCTGAACAGTAGGAATCTCTTTGATTAGTTATCATAAGCCTCTTTCAGGCAATGTCTGAATTTATGCTAATGAGGAAACTCAAGGTGTTACCTTTCTTTAACTTCTATGGGAATTGGTGACCAGACAGAGCAAACACCTCCTTTGAACTGGCATCTGCAGTGGAGACAGTGGTCAGACTGAACCCTGAATTTTTCAGGACTGTGCTAAATCTGGGTGGTATCAGAATTAAATTGTGGGACACTTTCTTGGAGAATTGGTTGGTGTTGAGCAAACAGCACACCTTTGGAGTCAGAAGTGATGTCGATAAAACACAACAGGTTGGAATTTTCCAATTGCTTTGAGTGATAGTTTGGTCACTTGTCAGAATCGAACCTGTGGAGGAGGGAGATTTTTTTATGCTGAGAGGAGGGGCAAGTATAGTGTGGGGAGATTCCAGAATTCCATTTCCTGGCTACTCAGGTTTCCCCCGCACATTGTGGGAGGAAGCCCCCCTGGGCTGCAACTGCACAGTGAGAGTGGTCTATAAATTTAGGAGTGTGTTTGACCTGTGAAACCTATTGCTTTCTTTTGTTTCCTTGATATAATTGTCCTTCTCAAAAAATAGCAGTTTACTTCACCATTTAAGAATTGTCCTTTTTAATGTTAGTGCAGTATGGTGATTTTCTTGTTTGGAACCTGAGAGTGGGATGATGAGTTTCATACTGAATTTAGGTAAGAATATAAATATTGGAGGACTCACCATGCAGGTGAATAAATAGGTTACTTCTGGTGTGTCTTCCTGATTTCATCTTTGTTTGTACCCAGAGATGACCACAAGATGCAGTTTTTGGTATTCTTTATAGCTTTCTCATGTGTTTTATTACTAAGCAGAGTTTTTAGATTAATTTTTTGTTTATATATGACATTACAATTCCTATTACACATATAGAGCACAAATTTTCATATCTCTGGTTGTATAGAAAGTATATTCACACCAATTCATGTCTTCATACATGTACTTTGGATAATAATGTGTAGGTGATAGAGTGATGGATAAATTTAAAGGCATTAGAGATTTTTTTTTTTTTCTTTTCAAGTATTGGTGATTGAACTTGGGGCACTCTTATCACTGAACTCCATCTCTAGTCTTTTTTTCCCCCCCCCCTTGAGATAGGGTCTCATTAAGTTGTCCAGACTGGTCTTGAACTATGATCCTCCTGCCTCAGCTTCCCCAGTTGCTGAGATTATAGGCAGGGGCCACCACACCCAGCTAGTAAGGAATTTTGGTAGCATATGAATTTATCATCTGACTTTTATATGTAGTGCTGAGAATCAAACCCAGTGCCTCAAACATACTAGGCAAGTGCTCTACCACTGAGCCACAACCCCAGCCCTAATAAATCTAATTTTTGTCCAGCTATTATAAACAGCATCTCTATGTTTATATTTTGGTTTTGTCGATGACATCTGGTGTAGGCTTTCATGTTATATTAAATTGTTTCTCTCTCCTGTATAAATAGTGTTGTGGTTTTAATTTCAAATCCAGTTGTTTGTATTTGATATGTAGGAAAATGTTGGATTTTGAAATATTAAGCTATAGTGAATACCACCTTACTTCTCCAAGTTTAGAAGAGTTGTTGATTTTAAATTTCTTTGTGTTTTTCCTCTGTGGACAGGAATATCCTCTTCTATATGCTTCCATGCTATTCTAGAAAGTGGAAAAATGTTAATTCCTTTTTTGGATGTTTTGTGGCAGTATTTAACCCTCAACACTCCTTCCCTTTGTGCCTCACATCAAGATAAAATGATGAAAAGGCTGGGGACTCCTTGTTTTTTTTTGGAGCTGACAGGAAACTCAGACCAGGTTAGGTAAGCTATCACTTTTCTTGTCCCAAAGACTTTAAACAATCAACCAGTGCATTGTGGTGAATGCCTGTAATGCCTGTAATCCTCCTGAGGCATGAAGATTGCAAGTTTGATACCAGCTTCAGTTTTGCAAGGCCTTAAGCAATTTAGTGAGATCTGGTCTCAAAATTTAAAAAAACAGAAAAAAAAAAAAAGATTTTAAACATCATTAGACATTTTGTTGTCAAGTCAAAAGTGTGTTTTTGGAATTATAGAATTTTGTACATATGTATGAGAAGTGACATCTTCGTAATATTGAGCTCTTTCTAAAAACATGGGCTATCTTTTCCCTAATTTCATTGTCCCTTTACATCTCAAATAAAAACTATAACATTTTTCTTTTAGCCTAGTAAACTGTTCTCCATGAGTCTTAGTATTTAATTAAGGTTTGCCTATAAGAAACAATTAGAAACTTCCAAAGTTGTCTCTGTACAATCACAGATGATGTGCTCAGTTCCCTAAGTAACAAGTTGTGACAAGAGGTATTAAATAATATCTACCAGACTTGCTCATTAGAAATTCATCATCCATAGTGTACTTTGGGGGCTTATCAGGTAGGCTTCCTCTGATGAACCTGTCAGAAACCTGCAAACATTCACAGGGACAGTAGGAGTTAGACAAATATCATGTGGTGGCAGAAACTGGTTAGGAACAGCTAACCCCTCTTTAAAGGTAGGATTCTGAGATCCATCCCAAGAGCAGTTCCCAAACACACTAGCAAAGGTCAAACTCTGTTCTCAAGCATTTCTGAGAACATGCAATCTCAGTACAGATGCTGTTAACTCTCTTGTGAACACTGAGTAGTAGTAGTTTGTTGTGAGAGGTGCTGTGCACACTCTGTACAAAGAGAAGTTGGGTGACCCAGCAGCATGACAGGTGTTCTTGTTCTGCTGTCACTTTACTAATGGTTCCCTAGTCTAGTGTCAGAATTAGTGTGATGACCAAGAAGTGGAATGAACATTTTTTAAAGATTTTTAATTTGTTATTTTTAATTATACATGACAATAGACTATATTTTGACATATTATACATACGTGGAGTTTAACTTCCTATTCTTGTGTTTGTACATGATGTGGAGTTACCCTGATTGTATATTCTTATATGATCAGAGGAAAGTTATGTCTGATTCATTCTACTGTCTTTTCGATTCCCTCCCCCCTCCCTTCTCTTCATTCCCCTTTATCTAACCCAATGAACTTCTATTCATCCATCCCCCACCCCTTATTGTATGATAGCATCCACATATCGGAAACAACATTTGGCCTTTGATTTTGGGAATTGGCTTATTTCATTAGCACGATAGTCTCCAATTCAAATGCTGTAATGTCATTCTTCTTTATGACTGAGTAATATGGAATGAACATTTAGAGAACATAGAATCATGTTATCTTACTATGTAGTGAATATGGATTTCCAGTAAAGCAAGTCTCACCTTTCCTGCTGGAAATGTGTGGGATGTTTTAGGAGTCAGTGACCTTTGAGGATGTGACTGTGAACTTCACCCTGGAGGAGTGGGCTTTGCTGGATCCTTCTCAAAAGAAGCTGTACAGAAATGTGATGCGGGAAACCTTCAGGAACCTGGCTTCTCTAGGTAAGAGTAACATCATTGCCTTATATAATCAATCAGAGAACAAGTGTTTCTTGTCATCAATGTTGCTTCATGATTTGGACTAAGTAAAGGAAAACTTTGATGAATATTCCAGTCATGAGCACATTATACCATGAACCTACCTAGGATTTAACACTGTAGTAATTTCTATAACACTGTAGTAATTCATAATGATTTTTTTGTCTACTCTTAGGAAGAGGACAGGAAGATGAGAGCATTAAAAATGACTACAAAAACTGCAGGAGAAATCTAAGGTAATTTACACTCACAAAAGAAAGCAGTGTCCCTCAAGAATCCTGGAGTGACAGGAAATTTTAAAAATGAGCAAATGAGGAAAAATAACTTCAGCTTCAAATTGATTAAATCTCAAAATATTTTTTAAAATGCATACAAGTTGAACATCCATAATTGAAAAATCCAAAATAAAAAGATGTTCCAATGTTGGAAACATGTGAAGCACCAATATCATGTCAACACAAGTGATATTTTTCTGATGTCTTAATGTATATGAACTTTGTTCCATGCACAATATTATTAAAAATGATGTATGAAATTCCTTGCAGGTGTGGGTGTAAGGTATATATGATATAAAAGTAAATTTTGTGTTTAAGGTGGGGCACAGCTTCAAGATCTCATTATGTACATGCAAATATTTCAAAATCCAAAATGGATTTGGTCTTGAAATTTTTGCATAAGTGTTATGGTTTGGATGTGAGGTGTCTCCCAAAAGTTCATGTGAGACAATGTAAGATGGTTTAGAGGAGAAATGATTGGGTTATGAGAGCCTTAACCCAATCAGTGAGTTAATCATGCGTTAACTGAGTGGTAACTAGAGGCAAGTAGTGCATAGCTGGAGGAGGTGGGCATTGTGAGTGTGCCTTTGGGGCATATATTTTGTATCTGGCAAATAGTGTCTCTTTCTCTGCTTCTTGATTATCATATGAGCCAGTTCCTTCCACCACACTCTTCCACTATGATGTTAAGCCTTACCTCAAGCCCCAGCCAGTTGTTTATGGACTGAGACCTCTGAAACTATGAGCCCTCAAATAAACTTTTCCTCCTCTAAAGTTGTTCTCACCAAGTTTTTTAGCCACAGCAGTGAAAAGCTATCTAAAACAATAAGTAACACTCAACTGTATTTCAATGTGATATAAACATTCAGTGTAGTCAAATAATTACCTGGGAAATAGTATTAGAAACCTCATATGAGCTGGTATAGTAATTCCTGCCTGTAATCTCTTGTGAAAGAAATACAGAAGGATCAGAAATTTGAGGCCAGCCTCAACAAATTGAGACCCTGTCTCAAAAAGGATTGGGGATGTATCTCAGTGGTAGAACTCTTGCCTTGCAGGTACAAGACCCTGCTTCTGTCTCCAGTACCACACACACACACAAAAAAAAAAGTAAGAAAAGAAAAAAGAAACCTGATGTGAATACCACTGTTTTGATGATAACTATTCTTAACCTATAGTGCAGGACATTCAGGACATTCATGTTCAGATATTCGTACATAAAAAGAGCATGTCTCATTAATAAACAAATCATTTGTTATGTACTGCTTCTATTTTTTTTTTCCTTTACAGAAGTCAAGTTGTAGAGAGACTCTTTGAACATAAACTAGGTAGCAAATGTGGAAAAGTATTCAGCTGGTCTGCAGATCCTTTCCTGAATAAGAAAACTCCTTCAATAAAACCAGATGAAAGGCATGTGTGTAGAAAAGTCCTCATTGGTCATTCATCCTTAAATGATACACACAGAACTCACTCTGGATACAAACCATATGAATATTGGAAATATGGAGAGAAACCTTATCAATGTAAGGAACATGGGAAAGCCTTCAGTTTTACCAAATGTTTTCTTAAGCATGAAAGAATTCACAGTGGAAATAAACACCATGAATGTAAGCAATGTGGGAAAACCTTCAGTTTTACCAAATGTTTTCTGAAGCATGAAAGAATTCACAGTGGAAATAAACACCATGAATGTAAGCAATGTGGGAAAACCTTCAGTTTTTCCAGTTATATTCAAATACATGAAAGAACTCACACTGGAGAGAAACCCTATAAATGTAAGCAATGTGGGAAATCTTTTGCCTGTTCCAGTTCTGTTCGGAAACATGAAAGGACTCACACTGGAGAGAAACCCCATGTATGTAAACAATGTGGTAAAGGCTTCAGGGATTACAGTTCCTTTCGAACACATGAAAGAATTCACAGTGGAGAGAAACCCTATGAATGTAAGCAATGTGGGAGAGCCTTCTTTTCTTTGAGTAATTTTCGAAGACATGAACAAACTCATAGTGGAGAGAAACCATATGTTTGTAACCAGTGTGGGAAAGCTTTCTGTGTTCCCAGTTCCTTCAGAAAACATGAAAAAACTCACACGGCAAAGAAAGCCTATGTATGTAGGCAATGTGGGAAAGCTTTTGTTGATTATAGTTCCTTTCTAAGACATAACAGAACTCACACTGGAGAGAAACCCTTTGTATGTAGGCAATGTGGGAAAGCCTTTGGTTCTTCCAGTTATGTTCAAATACATGAAAGAACTCACACTGGAGAGAAACCCTTTGTATGCAAACAATGTGGGAAAGCCTTTAGTTCTTCCAGTTACACTCAGATACATGAAAGAACTCACAGTGAAGAGAAACCCTATATATGTAAGCAGTGTGGGAAAGGCTACTATCATCCCAGTTCCCTCAAAAAACATGAAAGGACTCACACTGGAGAGAAACCCTATGTATGTAAGCAATGTGGGAAAGCCTTTAGTTCATCTGGTTACATTCATATACATGAATGAACTCACACTGGTGAGAAGCCCTATGTGTGTAGGCAATGTGGAAAGGCCTTCAATCAATCCAGTTCCTTTTACAAACATGAAAGAACTCACACTGGGGCTGGGGTTCGATCCTTAGCACCACATAAGAATAAATAAGTGAAATAAAGGTATTGTTTCCAACTATAACTAAAAAATAAATATTAAAAAAAGAACTCACACTAAAGAAAAACCTTAAATGTGAAATGTGGGAAGTCTTTTACTATCCTGTGGCCTTTTAGCAAAAATGAGAATGCAGAGTGGAGAGCCCTTTTATACATGTAAAGCACATGGGAATGCCTTTAGTCATCTTGGTTCAATTCACAGACCTAAAAGAACACAACATGGAAAGAAATCTAGAATAAAAGAGGTGCACATAAGTCTTCAGTTGGCCTCTGTGTAAGAATGCACATTGGATTAAAGCCTTATAAATGAAAATACAAAAAGTCATCAGTTATAAGAAATAACTTTCTAAGTCCTGTGGAAGTGCCACATGTAGTGGGATCTTATAAATGCAAATAATATGAAGAGCTTGAAGCAAAGTAAGTTTTGTAGCATGCTTCAGAAAATACACAAGCTGAAGGAAATAAAATATATTTGTGTGTGTGTTTATCAGTGTTTCATAAATTAAATCTCTGGGGTATTGCCAATTTTACTCTTGAAAATAAATGTTGAGGTGACATAATTTTGTTTTGTTCAAGCAATACTGTATAAGTTTAATAGGTAGTATTTTGTTTTCATTTTGAGACGGGGTCTTGCTAAGTTGCTTAGAACTTTGTTTAATTGCTGAGGGTGGCTTTGAACTTGTGATCCCTGTCTCAGCCTCGTGAACTTCTGGGATGACACATGCACCATCACACCTAGTAATAGTATGTTTTTAAATCGGGGAGCAAAGTTTTTCTCCTTTTTTCTTATTTTAGTACCAGGGATTGATCCCCAGGGGCTCTTTCCTACTGAGCTACATCTCCAGTTCTTCTTATTTTTTATTTTGAGACAGGATCATGCTAGGTTTCTGAGGCTTGCCTTAGCCTCCTGAGTTGGAATTACAAGCATGTACCACCACACTGGCTTCTTTCATTTTTAGCATATTGATTGAAGTGGAATTTATTTGTAATATGCCAGTTGGCTTAATTTTTAAATAATTGTGGTTAATGAGCTGTCAAAAAATTAGTTTTTATTGATTGTTGGGATTTTTCTATTGGGATCATGTGGCAGGATGTGTGTGTTCATATATATATATGCCTCTTTATCAAAACAAATGACATTTTTCATGATTTTTATATTTTTTACTTCTTGATATATATTTTCTTCAACAAGATTTCCATGCATGCTTTTTTAGAAAGGGTTTTTAAAAACTCTTCCAATTTGTAGATTAACAAATGTCTTTTTCATTTTCTAAGAAGTCTGCAAATATCCCATCATAATCATGGATTAATTTATATGTTTACCACATTTTTTCTGTGATATTGAATCATTGTGGTTATGTACTTAAAATTTAAGGTGTTTTTTCCTCACGTAAATTGTATCCTTCATGCTTACATTGTGAAAACTTATTTGATTGTAATTTGTTCCTCAGTCATCATACCAAAAGATACATCATGTTGGTGTGAGTTTCCTCTTGCCAGAGACCACTGAACCACAGTTTTTTTTTCAGTTTATATGAATTAATTATTGTAAAAAAATCTCTCCACCCACCATAACTAATTGTTTGGTTCATCAGTAATAACATTCTCTATAGGATTGGTGTTGGTTTCGAAGGATTGGTGGCTATTCAGTGGACGCAGCGAGAAGGTGGATACAACTTATTCTTGGTAACCGTAAGGTTCTTACCTGGAAGGCCAAAATAATGGGGGTGAAGAAAGACCTAATTCATGAGAAGCACCAGCCAGTTTCACAGTGAGAAGAGTGGAACCTTCCTTATTTAGGATTGGGGGGTTCAGAATGTCTTTCATTTTTACCAATTTTAGAAACACACATACTAGATGTCTTTGTTTTTTGCCTTGATCCATCCTAGTCACTGGGGGGCATTATCTGCTGTCAGAGGTATGTGACATGTCTCATAAGTCTTGGCCTTGCTGGAAGTGTGAGGCTGACTCCAGCCTTCTGGGTCTGTTTTTGTCTTTATCTCTTATTATAAACTCAAGTATTTCCTACGATGCACCTAACACTTATCTATAACTATAGATTTTCTTTAACTTCCAATGGTGTTACCATAAACCTGTGGTAAAAGGACTCACACTGGAGAGAATCCCTAAATATAGAATGCGGGAAGGCTTCACTTTACTTGCCTACGTGATAATGCTCCTATCAATGTAAAGCCTGTGGGAATGACTCTGTTCATCTTGGTTCGATTCACAGATATAAAAGAACACAGCATAGTGAGAATCCTTGAAGAGAACAGATGTGAAGAAGTCTTTAATTGTCCCACATTTAAGAATGCTCACTGGATCAAAACCTTATAAATGTGAAATATATAAGACAGTTGTCATTTGTAACAAATAGTTTCCAAGTCTTCATATAGAGCAGTCCTATAAATGTAAGCAATAAAGATCTTGATGCAAAAGAATGTGTGTAGAATGCTGAAGAAGATACATAAGCTGAAGAAAATGTTCTACAGTTTATGAATATAACATCAGTGGCTCATTCTTTTTTTAATATTTATTTTTTAGTTGTAGTTGCACATGATACCTTTATTTATATGTGGACCTGAGGATTGAACCCGGGGCCTTGCACATGGTAGGCGAGCGCTCTACCACAGAGCCATACCCCAGCCCCAGTGGCTCATTCTTAAAGTAGATCCCTAGACTCTTGCTAATTTTTACTTTTGAAAGTAAATATTGAGGCTACATACTTACACAAGTTTTGTTTAAGTAGTGTGAGTTTAATAGTTTCATTTTAAATCAAATCACATAATAAGTTTTTCTTCTTTCATTTTGAACCTTGTTGAGTCTGTGAATTAGAAATGTATTTCTAATCAACCACTGTGTGGTTAATGGGACCATTGAAAATGAGATTTTGTTAATTATGATTTTCCTATGGGGCTCATGTGTCAGGTTCTTACCTTTTACAGATATTTACTCATCTTTCTTTTTTCAAAACAAATGACATTTTTAAATGTCAGTGTGACTTCTTTTTTATAATCTTGACGTATATATATTTTTCAAATGGGATTTTGTACATTTTTAAAGAAAGGGTTTTCTTAACCTTCTAAACAATTGGTAGATTAACAAATGTTGTCTTTTTCATTTACTGAGAAGATATCTGCAAATATCCCATCATACATGTGGATTGGATCAATATATAAGTTTGCCACACTTTTTGTTTGAGGTTGATCATCATTAGGTGCTCACAACTAAAGGTGTTTTTGCCTCATATAAATTTTAGTTCTCATCCTTATGTTGTTAAAAATGATTATTTTGATTGTAACTTGTCCTTCCACCAAGGCCATAGTTTTTGTCAAACAGGATGCAGTGAACTAGTCAGTCCATCCAACATCTGTAAATGGCTATGTGGCTCATCAGTGAAGGCATTCTCCATAGAATGTCCATCAGTATGGGTATTTGTTTAGGGATTGGCTTGGATGCGGTGCAGTGAGGCATCTCCTTGGATGTGCTGATGAGCTGAATGCATTTGATCTTTGGTAACCACATTAGTTCTACCGGAAGCCAAAGTAATGGAAAGAAAGCAAACCTAATTTATGAGATATATATGTCAGTCATCTTAGTGAGAATAGGGAAGTCCTGTTCATTTTTGTGACTCACAATGTATTCTGTTCTACCAGTATTTAAAGACAAATTTACAGGATGTCTGTGTTTTCATCTTGATCCATTTTATTCACTGAGGAACATTATCTGCTTTCAGAGGTGTGTGATAGTGTCTTCATAAGGCCTTGCTATGTGAGTCTGGCTCTAGTTTTTGCCTTTGTCACTTATTATATTTCCTACATTGCATTGGACAGTGTTCTCGATTCCACCGTGCAGCCAGCACGCTGGTTTCATACAAGAGGTTTGTAGCATAGAAGTTAACTAGTGAGATCAAAATAAACACACAAGACTCAATTACCTTTTTCTTTGACCAGGTCCGAGACAGCCCTCCCTCTAGCTCTCGCCTGGAACCACCCGGTGGGGCAGCAAAGCTGACTCAGGACTAGCAGGAGAGAGAGAGAGAGGGCACGCCAGGGAGTGGCCTTTTATTGGGGAACAAGAAATTCAGGGGAAAATTCCATCCAATGAAGGTCGAGGGGGGCAGCATTCCAAGGTCAGGGTCAGTGATTGGTCTCAGGGTCAATGGTCAGTCACACCCCCACACGGACAGGCTCTCGCACCTGGAGAGGGCGGGGATAAGCTCCAACACAGTTTGGCCAGAACGCCTCACACCCAATCAGGGAGGTGCCCAATCACATGCAAGAATGGCTTCCCACACTCGATGAATACAGATACCTTTCAACTTTCAATGTTATCATAAGCCCACACTAAGGTGACAATATCATAAATATCATAAATTCATATGTTAAATGTGAATTTATGATATTGTATAAAATGTGCTTAAAGCAGGTAACTTACTGAACATCACAGTTGAGCCTAGACTACCTAGAATTTGATGAGATCACTTATATTATCCTATGGGCTATTTAATAATAAAATATTAAAATATCTCATTTAATTCATTGAATACAGAACACTGTACAATATCAGTTTTTATGGTCCTGAAAAGGGAGCCAAATGGACTGCAATCACCACAGCTCTCCAGCCTCATCAAAAAGCGCAGTAGTGCATACCACTACCCCAGCATGAGATTAGACTTTGAAAACCAAAGTCATTTTCTCCTGAACACGTTCACTTTCTCACCATTTTCACAGTGAGAAGTTGTAAGTCAAACCCTCATAAGGTAGTGATCATCCTCATGTCAGTTAAATATATAAATTCACTTACTCCTTAGCATGATTATAATAATTCTCTTTAAATTTCCTTTATGAGTCTAAGGAG